GACAATATTTTAGTACTTAACCTCGAAACATTCAAAAGCCAATATCTTTTTTCCTAGACTTCTTTCGCTAGTAATTTTTTTATGAGAATGTTCAAGAATAAATTCTCAAGGGTTTTAGGCCTTTTTGATATTTAAACGCTGTCATTTCACTTCAAATAAAATTATGTATGGGGACCTGCCATTGTTCTTTGGTGTGGTTATAAGGGAAGCTACATGTTACTCGCTGTTACAACAAAACAATCAATTCTAAATCTCTTAATCAAGAAAAAAGAAGCAAAACAGGAGTTTTATTTCTGAGACGTGAACAACAGAATCAGCTCCAAGAAACTATAAACTGGTTTAAAAATCATTAAATTCCGAAGTACACATTTAGTTTAGGTCTACAGTTTATCCGTTTTGTCAGTTCTTCATGTCAGTAGTTTACAATTAAGTTTATTCAATATAGTACAAGCTGTGGGCCGCAAAATAATTTCATATTAAAAAAAAAGCGGCTCCCAAACTAACTATTTGTAACCTCCCTTAAAGTATTATTAGCTTTTACTCGAATTATCACTGAAAAACCAGCCGTTTATTTAGTAAACGTACTTTATTCTTGCTTTTAAGAAGTTGTCGATATTCCTTAGAATCCGACCTAAAACAAAAGTCTATCTTTGTGCAAAATGCTACTCATATGCTTTTACTACTGTCTTAGAACTATCAAATTAAGAAAAAGAAAGGCCTGGATATCTTATTAACAGCTGTTTTCCTTATCCCTTCTATTTCAGGCGCAGAGTGGTATGCTGTGTGATTTTAGTCGGTTTGATTCTGACATACCGCCCCAACGTACACCCCGGTAGGGTGCCAGACCGAAGGGGGTTGCCACTCTTACAAAAAAAAAGTAAAAGAAAGCATCATTAGAATTATTTTAAGTTGTGTTACTGGATATTTATTTTTTATTTAGACTTTCTTTCGTTCTGAAATGACCGTCTTCAAATATATGTATACTATTTGCTTATAGAATGCTACTATACTAATTATACACTATTTACTAGATGCAGTTAGAATAGTTGGCATTTTTTAGGCCAGCTTTTCCTAATACACTATCAACAGCAGAACCATTTAGTCTACAACAATCAATATGGAGTGCAAGTGAATCCGTCTAAGACCCAACTGATTATAGTGGGCAGTCCTATGATGGTATCAAAAATAGACTCGACACAACCACAGAAGATGCAGGTGCAGGTGTTGGAGTGGGGAGCAGAGGAATTTTCGCTCCAGCCTTTGGCGAAGTTTTAGGCTCCACCGTCGATGCAGCAGTCTGGCTGCTGTCTTGGCCACCTGTCCTGACCTCGGAGTAGACGCCGACGCCGCCGCCGTATATGACACACGACCGCCCGCAACGGGAAGCGAAGTCGCCGCTAACGTGACTTTACGCCTATCTCCTATAGCGGTGGCCGAACAACAGGGGCCGGTGGCAGCATCGCCTCCAGGCCGACGAGACGCCCGTCCATCATACGCCACATCATGCGTAGGTAATTTGCCGACGGTGGGCATCCGGGATGTCACCGAGATTGGTGGTGTCACCGATGGTGTTTGGGGGTCAGAACCTCCTACCATCGGCTCCTTAAATTTCAGCAGGAGATCTGCAATCTCCTCTTCCGCTATGTTTTCGCCGTCCACCCTGACTCGTCTATAGCGTAGTTGCATCAGAGTTGGCCTTAATTTTCAATAGGTGCATTGAATGTGGTGTATTTCCTGATTTGATGAAACATAGTAAGATCATTCCTTTATTCAAGGCGGTTAGCACGTCTGATCCTACAAATTATAGACCAATTTCAGTGTTGCCTACTTTCAGTAAAATTTTTGAGAAGATTATACTGGATCAGTTACAAACTCACTTTAGTGCAAGCAAAATTCTACACAGGAAACAGTTTGGATTCAGAAGAGGTGGCTCGACAAGTGATACCGGTGTTGAACTTTTGAAAAATATATTTAGTGCCTGGGAGGATAAACAGGATACCCTGGGTGCTTTTTGTGATTTTTCGAAGGCATTCGACTGCGTTTTTCATGAAACATTAATCAAAAAATTGCATTACTATGGAATTAGGAACACTGCTTTGGATCTTCTTATCTCTTATTTGGGTAATAGGATCCAGAGAGTGGAAGTTAATGGACAGAGATCCCTGGGGTCTCTGGTCACCATGGGGGTTCCGCAGGGCTCAATTCTCGGCCCATTTTTATTTCTTGTTTACATAAATGACCTACCTAATGTGATAAATTTATCACTTATTATATTCAGGAGATAGTGCTATTTGCGGATGACACTTCACTTTTATTTAAACTTAAACGACAGCAATCAGTAACTGATGACGTGAATAGCACTCTCTCTAAGGTTGTGAACTGGTTTAATGTTAATAATTTACTTTTAAACGAGAATAAAACGAAATGTATTAGATTTTTTACACCTAATGTTACGCAGGTAAAGACCAATGTTCTAATAAATGGAAAGGAGTTGGATCTTGTGGACACCACCAAGTTTTTAGGCATAACACTAGACTCGAAATTGCAATGGGGCCCACACATTGACGGATTGTCGAATAGACTCAGCTCTGCAGCATACGCAGTTTATAAAATTCGTCAATTAACCGATGTAGAAACAACTAGACTGGTGCATTTTAGCTATTTTCATAGTGTAATGTCATACGGTATTTTGTTGTGGGGAAATGCTGCTGACATTCAAAGTATCTTTGTGTTGCAAAAGAGAGCTATTCGTGCAATTTATAATCTCAGTTATAGGCAGTCACTGAGGGATAAGAAATTGGTATCATGACAGTCGCATCTCAATACATATATGAAAATTTAGTGTATGTAAAGAAAAATAATCATTTATTCACAAAGTTTAGCGACATTCATAAAATAAACACTAGAAATAAAGATAAACTCGTGTTACCAACCACTAGACTACAAAAAGTAAGCAAGTCTTTTCGTTGTCAGAGTGTGCGATTTTACAATAAAGTGCCAAGCAAATTCCATGAATTAAGTATTAACAAATTTAAGTCTTTAGTAAAGCTAAAACTGTGTGAAAAGGCTTACTACACTATTACAGATTATTTAGACGACAAATTTGCTTGGGACTGATGCTGCTCACTCCTACATTTACGTAGACATCTTTGTTGTTAAGTTTGAAAGTGATGGACATGTTTTTTTTGTTTTGGTGTATTTCGTATTTTATTTTTCGTTGAATTTGAATTGTATAGTATTATTTAATTTTTTGTGTAAGTATGTAAATGTGAGTATAGTGTAGGCTTGTAATGTTAATTCATATTTTATTATCTTTCTGGTGGTTTTGAGTGTTTGAAAGGCCTACCCAAATGTCCTGCTAGCGGTAGTGTCATGCTTCGGGTCGTTGATCTTGACCAATATCGGTTAGGCTACACGATGGCTGGAGCCTGTATGCCGTCTGTATGGACAGGCTGACTCAAAACTATGGTCCTTTCCTCAAAAGGCCTATCCAGACCCTATACTGTACTCGCACAGTTTTATTTAACTTTGTTTACGGACTAAAAAAAAGACACCTCTATGGTGTGTTTCGGCATTTCCCAGAGTGAGTCTTAGGAAATGCCGGCTCCTTCTAGTCTCTATAAAGTCCGACTTGTAAAATATCTGGAAAGATTTACTTACAGAAATAAATATCATTTATTATTTATTTATCATTTATAGGATTCCGCCTGGCAGAAGATGGAGCCTGGAGGGGCCGAGATCGGCGTTCGTGACCTCCCTCTACGGCTGCATGCCACTTTGGGACGCAGCATGTCCTGGGACGTGTTGCTCTCCCTATCCTTTGAGCGCCCGCGTTTCCGGCTGCCGTATGAATCCATTTCCATGGACTCCAGTGCGTCCGTCCTCTTGCAGGAGTTACCGCCCGCACCGTCCGACGAAAGGGTGGATCTAGAACGCATATGTTCCGATGTTCTTCGGCTGTTTTTGAGCCGGAGCCGTGCTGTGACAGGCGTCATGTGCAACAGTTGCTCCTCGTTACACGAGAAGTCATTCACCCTTCCACTTTTCTCCTTTCTGTTCTTCTCCTTCCGTCCTTCATTTCTGGTTTCTTTAATACTTATTATTATTTTATTAGACTGCATAATTGATCCCACGAGTGGGGGTGAAATAAAGGTCGACCCGGGCAGAGATCCCCCAATACCCGGGCAAGCGTAGATTTATATACACAACCGAGGGGTCCGCAGGTGCCCCGGCTGGGAGTGCACTTGCGACTAAACTACCCATCAGCCATGCATCCTCTGACCACGCACTACGACTATACTACTGGGATTACGATGTGCAAACGGCGGCAAGGAGATCCAGTCCCCATAGACTGCTCGGTGGCAGAGTCCAGTAGACACTTACTATCAGAGGATCTATCTACTCTTTTGCCCCGTATGGCATAAAACTGGTAAATTTATCTATTATTAGCTTTTGCCTACGGCTCCGCCTGCGTGTAAGTCGGCTATCGCGGTAAAAAGTAGCCTATATTACTCGCTGATTATGTAATTTTAAAGTTGTGAAAGCGTAACAAACAAACAAACAAACTCACTTTTACACACTACTTTTACATTTATAATATAGGTATTAAAGTATGGATTTTAATAGGTACATCGTTTTAAATCGGTACTAATGCTATAATAATTAAAATACAAATAACTAGCCAGTAGGACTCATTTTAATAAATTGAATGTCAGCAGGTGGTAACAATATAGATAATTTTATGGATTTGGGTTTCCAAATGAACTTCACAAGACGTCATTTATGTAAAAAATATTGAATGAGCATAATTAATGATGCAATTTTGCTATAGCCCGAGCCCGACTTCGGATTCATGGCTTGCATCGAAATTAGCTTAGTCGTCGCACGTCTTCGTGAATCGACGACTGTGATTTAATTTCGAGCAATGCAATAATATAATAGTTAAAATGAGGGTTCTTTTCTCATTTATATCACTTTCTTATTTACATATTGTGACATCAATGTTTTGTTACTGGAATACGGGATGTCCATACAAATATTTTGGTGCTAAAACTCCTTATAATTTTGTAAGAGGAGATATCAGAGATTCTCTAGTGAAAATAACAGGTGAGTCACATCTGTGTAACTATTAACAAAATACATTCATTTTATATAGAAAAATAATTTTTGACTATTATAACAACAGTCGATGTAATTTTTATTCACAAAAAGATCATAATTGTGTAACTGGAATAAGGTAAGATTTTAGACGCAATGAGGTTTTACAAAATTACTTGATTATACTCGTATTATATATTCTACTTAGACTTTTAGGCTTTTTCAAACAAAGAGATTTTTCAATTAAGATGTATGTTTTAACGGAACGATTTTGGGTTTCATGTTTCCCTTTTGCGTTTGATGATCATGTATGATAATATATTATTAAACGTATTGAACAAAAAGTGCTATTTAAATACAAGATTGACAGCAATATTTATATTAGGTTTATGACGTTACAATTATTAATCCGAGAGACCGGTTTATAGCCTAAAAAGTATTCCGACTGCCATTTGTAGTGATCATATTACACACTATTTTCATTATCAGCCTATTGACGTCCATTGCTGAATGAAGGCCTTCCCAAGAGCGCCAACTCGGTTTTGGGCAGTCAACATTCACTGGTTTCAATACTTTTATTTACATTGTAGTCCGTTCAAAATAGGTTTGTTCAATATGCTATAACTCCCATAAATTCTTATGTTAGGAAGACTATTACAAATAAAATTACAAACATGCCCACCGATCCAACGCCTCTTAAAGAATTTCCAGATCAAGATCGTATACGAGTTATGGTAAACATATCATTATATTTTATCCATCTTATTAGTTGAGCCATGTGCAAGGTTGTACATGTATGTAATTCTAAATAATAAATGTCACAAAAGCTTTGAAACTTGAACAGGGCCGATGGAAACAACTTTTACTGAATAATGTATTGATGTATTACTAAATACATATGATTTCACTAAACTGACCTTAACTATATGCACGGAGGGGTCGATTAGGTTGTACAATGAAATGCCGAGTTTTATATTGAAAATATAACAAGAGTAGTATCCACCTAACATTTAAGTATGTAATGCTATAATAGCTGAATAATATTTTGAACAAAAATCAATTTCCTAAACTTATTCCATAGATTGTGAGCCAATTAGCATTTGGGCATTCATGCGACATGGCAAAAGAAATCCCAGTGAGCAGACCGCGAAGGACATGAAAGAGGCAATGTTCATAAAAGACTACATCGTAACTGCTTACGAAAATGGCAGTAGTACACTTTGTGCACAAGATATAGATAATTTACGAAATTGGGTTCTTGATAAGAACATGTTTGACCAATTAAACCAACTTTCCAAAGAAGGTTATGAAGAATCATTAGGAATAGGGCGCAGATTGAAGGAAGCATTTCCAAATCTGTTAGCTGAACTAGGCAAAGAAGATTACACGTTCCGATCTGTGAAAAGTAAATGGGTACAAGATAGCATTAAGGGATTTGTTGAAGGTCTCGGCAGCAAAAACTTGAATATTGATCCACCTAAAGATGACTATGACAGTTTAGCGGTAAGTTTTTGAAATAAAACATAATAAAAAATTGTGGCAACTATCCTTCACACTTTTCTAGAGACTTCGGATTCATGACTGAGTCCTAGAGTAAATCTCTGAGCTCAGCTGGTTTATAACATTAACCTTTGCTAGCGTATCGGCCTCAGTAAACTTTCGCAAGGCCGGCCATCTATCAGTTCTTTATATTAGTACCTTCTATAACTAGCGTCTTATTACTACTGTTACTATAATAAGACCGAACACCATCATAATCAACAGCTTTTGGTAGCCCACTGCTGAACTTAGGGATTTTCTTAGAAAGGAAGTTTATTTATTGTTGTTATTTAAAAGACAACTCTCTCTCGTATTAGGAATATATTCTGGTTTTGGTCTACTATAAAACGCTGGCCAGACGAGTTGGCATAGATTTTGGGTAAAGTTTTCCTTCTCTTGCCGTGCTGTTGTTCTGCTTTGTTTACTCCTTTTCCTTTACTCCTCACGGAATGAATAGGAGTGCTGATACTCCGTGGTATTAATCCGTTACCAAACGCCTAACGTTTGCTCCTAATAAGATTTGCACCTCCTTGTATGTCTCTCACGACGATCACTAATATATGTCCTTTTGTAGATTTGACAAGGTCACAATTCGGTTACACAGATACTTTTAGTTTCGTATTTAGTACAAATAATACCTATTTAATAAATTGTTTCTAGTTTCATTGACATACCTTTATTAAGAATGCTAAAAAAAAATGGCACAGATTGGTAAATCACTTTTTTAAGAAGTTTTCCTTGCGAGTAATATAGTCAGTTAGTAGGTCATCTGTTTGACCGGGCCATTAAGTATCACTGATACAAATAACTTCCAACCGATTAATGATCTTTTCAACAAAGAAAAGCTTAAGCTTATATATATATATAATTTATTTTATATATATATTTCAGGTTTTTTTTTTATTTAGCACCCTTGGTCCAATGAAGAGACTATTCCATGTGGGCTGATTGTTAATTTGATATGTACCTTTGCATTTTTACAGCCATATAAAAGTTGTAATAAATACCTTAGAGATGTAGAAAAGACAAATGAAACTAATTTAGAAGCAGAAAAATATCAAATCCACTCAGAATTTCTTGCGGTGAGTAAAATGTTTTAGTGAAATAATGCTTGAACATATTAATTAAAAATTATTTGATATTTCAGTCAAAAGACAGGTTGCATAGAAGACTCGGAATTAATTATCCTATAGCAGATGTAAACATGATTGCATTGTGGAACTGGTGCCGATTGACCTCTTCTGGTATCCAAAACGAATTTAGCCATTGGTGCGCATTATTCACAACTGAGGACTTAAAAGTATTAGAGTATCGAGAAGATTTAGAGCGTTACTACAAAAACGGCTATGGTTTGTCGATGAATAAGATCTTTGGAGAGACTGTATTATCTGATCTACTGAAAACTTTTCAAGATGCTAAAATATATGGGAAGAAAGTGACTGCTTATTTCACGCACGCCCCTATGATGGATATGATTTATACAGCGCTAGGACTATTTAAGGATCCATACAAATTAACTGGCACAGAGAGAAGGCCTGACCGAAAATGGAGAACTAGCAAATTTTCAACGTTTTCAAATAATCTCATTGCTGTCCTGAACAGGTAACTATTTACAACTTATTTTCATTAGAATTGATACTTTTTGAGAAGTTCTTTACCTAAAATACTTATGAACAGTACATAACGTAGAACGTCTTCTGTTTATATTTTCCATTAGATAATATGCAACAGCTGTTGTACGACTATTATATATTTATGCGTTATATTTTTCATAGATGTGGAAAACAACGGTATGAAGATTATAATGTTGTGTTTTACCTAAATGAAGAACCGCTCAGAACTATATGCAAAGCAGGAGTTTGTACCTGGAAAGAGTTCGAAGACAAATTATCTCCTTTTTTGAACACAAACACAGACTTTTGCGAATAACTTTTCATCTATACAATCTACACAAACATAACATTTTAATCTATATATAATTCTGAATTCATTAGTTTTATTGCATTTTATTTATTATCTTATCTAATTGTACATAACGTAAAGATGAGACCGTTCTGTAATCCAAATATTGTTAATAAGTAAGAGGAAATGAGAGTAAATTTAGCAAAACTTTGATAGTATAATAGAGTAGGAAAAAACCATTTTATATATTTACAATTTAACACAGGGACTCTACTATGCCTCCTACATACATACCTATTTGTTGTAAATGTTAATCTACTTATTTCGTACAACGCTTATATACAATTAAATCAATATCAAATCCTAGCAAATCTTTTTAAGCGTGGTGATATCATGCATTTATAGGGTTTATTATGTTTGCATCCTTTAATAGCCCTTTACTTAATCTTGTTACAAGATTTCGTAATGGAAGTGACTTCCTTTCATTAAGATACAACTCGGCTTTTGCATTTTAATTAAGATATCGTGCTAACTTACACCATAAAATGGATTTTGATTATAATCTAAAATACATTTTAATTTAGTACCTCAGAGTTAACTTGTTTTTCGACTTTTATTACACTGCTGTTTTTCAGAGCCAATGTGATGAAAAAGTTTTGATAGGGGCGTGTAATATAGGCTCGACAGCGAGAGGTGGATAACCGCTTTATGGTTGCTGCAATACTCTCCCGAGAGTGGTAAGGGTAACATGAAATTATGCTACCCTTTGGAAAATACTAGGGAAGATTTCTATAATAGGTTCACTCGAAAATTTTAATAATTATTTATAAACTTAGAAGTAATCTATCATCTGCGATTGGTCCAATTACTTATGGACAACACAACAATCTTCAAAACAAAAAACTAAGGGATCTATTACGGTGTTGGAATTCAAAACCAGATGAATTTATGTGTAAAATAAAACTATTAGATTGTAAGTCTACAATGGAAGAATAAATTAAGGAATTTAACATATTATGTAAAATCATGTAAAATCATTTGCTTAATTCGTTTAATGTTTTATGCGCAGTGATCACGAGGTTTAAAGTCAGCAGTGATTATTCGAGGAGCGCTTAATGTTGATATTTCAAAATTCTTCTTAGCTTAGCACAAGAATAGATTTTTAGAATCTCTCATTTTTCTCTAGACCTTAGAGTATTCTGAAACGAGATATCAATCAAACACTCAGTTGCATTATTATACACGATATCAAATGAGATTCTCAAAAAATACAAATACAAATATCTTTATTTTCAATAAAATAATACCTTTGGCATTAATTTCTGATTGGAGCCTTCTTTTAAGCAAACACTGCCTGTTTTAGGAGACTCCGCTCTTCTATAACTAAATATAAATTATACTTATATGTATCTATGAGCTGTGTACGTGTTGTGTGTGAGTGTTGTGTACGCGTGTGTGTGTTGTGTATATGAGTGTGTGTGTGTGTGTATGTTGGGTGTGGGTGAATTAATAGTAATATAATAATATAAAATAGATGTAATAGGAGGTGATATGCAACTTTAAGCGCACATTTTTGTAAAATATTGTTAATATATTTTAAATATATATTTGTTGATTGTTGATATATTTAAAAAAGGCACATGACTGATTAAGAATACGGAGTCTCACCGTCCCTGTTTATCTCGTAGGTGTCGTAAGAGCCCACTAAGGGAACAAACTAAGCAGGACAATAGCGCTACAAAGAGCAGAAAAACTTGACACAAACCCTATACCAACACGTCTGGCCAGCGTGGTATAGTAGGCCAAAACCACCTTTCTAAGGAGGGGTCTATGTCCAGTAGTGGACAAATTAAGGCTGTTAATGATGATGATTTTAAAAATTATAGTATGTGTCTATTTAATTTCTATTTGCCGTAGCATAGAGCAGAAGTTAAGAATGTTATACACCTGTCTTTGTTATGGTTTATTTTATCTACGCTTAAAATATTTTTAACGTATTTTTAAAGTTTATTTTCAAGAGCAAAAATGATTTATTTAAAGTCACACATTTTATTAAAAGTTATCTTGTGTCTGTTAATCGTGTTAAAAACATAAATCCATCAAAGTTTAAGATCAACGAACTGGACATGTACAGGTCATCGAATAAGCATCAGTTAACAAGCGATCCCTAATAAATAGACGCAATAACCATAAAAAGTATCTTGTTTTTTTACCCTTTTTTACAATAACCAATCCATATTATTACGAGTTACTCTCAATCAAGTGTCCTACACAGGTCAAATAATAATCACTACATGCTAAATTTAAAACATAATACTGAGATACAAAGTGGTTAAAACTGTCTCCTCATATATTTAAATATAACATCATAAAATTTAATTTAATTTAAAATTAATTTTTATTTGTACTTGAGAATAGGAATTAAAGAAATACAGTTTTACTGTCACAGACCCATAGACCTGGTTTATGTTGATTTTTCTTACAAATCCCTAACCAAAAGTAAGTAGTTTGCGTCAAAGATTGATCTATATAACAAATGCATAGAAATATTCTTGAATCCATGATAGAAGCTACGTGTTTGAGTCTAAAAATAAACATAATAATCTATAGCAAAAAGTAATAATTTATTATGTTGTTGGTTTCTTCACACTCGTTAAACACATTTTAAAAACGATCCTAGTAAATATCGTGTCAATCGCTTTCACATAATTAATGAAGGCATTAGCTAATATTGTTTTGTTTAAGAACGAGAATTTTGTTAAAAAATATAAAGGTCACCAGTTGGCCTTACACTTATTTCTTCTCACGTTTTGTGTATACAAAACTAGCTCTGAGAAATTCAACAACCTGTAGTTTTTATAGCTTCTTAAAATTGAATTTTATTTATGTAGGATAGGCAAATATTGTTTCATATATATGAGCTTGATCGATTTCATTTATTGTCTCACTTTTTATGGAATCTTGGATCTAACTTGAGTAATATGAATATAGCCGAAGTATATATTTGTATTATATTGTAAGTAAATAATTGAAGTTTAAATAATAACTATTATTGTGTTTCTTAAAATTTTGTAAGTAAAATTAGAAAAGTTCGTTTTCGTTTCGTGAAACAATACAGATTTTTATCCTTGTAACCATTTTATACCATATTATTAACAGACTCAGTTTCATATATTTGATTCACCTCCCCCACACACATTCATTATTTTTTGTGTATATGTGTTCACACAAAAAAAAAATGTAATGTATACATTAGTGGCGTTGGATCGTTGTAGATAATCCAACTCTAATTTATGGCTGCATTGTTTTGAGCTACTCGTACAACGGTTTATGTGTAGTTTGTATTTTATGTAATACTTGTAATGCTTTTCAGCCTAAAATATGTTAATAATGTAAATACACTATGAATGTAGGTATGTTATTTCCACTGGTAGGTTCACCCCACCTTCAAGAGAGGGAAATATGGGAGTGATACACAAATAACACAACAGGTGTTATGAATCTTTCTTGTGACTCCAGTAACCGCTTACAATCAGGCAGACTGTTTGGTTCTTTACCAAATAATGGTAGAAAAAATACGTAAGTAGAAACATGTACTTTCAAGTTTCTTTTTTGAAATACATTTTTGTCAGCCAATCAGCCAATTTACTTAAGTTTCAATTACAAAAAGCCTTAAAAACAGAGCTTATACATAAAAGTTAATACTTACTTCTAATGAATTTACTTTCTATTTCGAACCAAAAACTGCTTTTGTTATGAACAATTATAATTTTGTAAACAACAGACTCCATTTTACTCTTTACTAAATTCCTGAAACTAGTTAAAAGAAAGGCGCCTAAGTGTCAATTCCCCCTTCACAAGCCGTAAAAGTTTAGTGGATAAAGGTAGCTATAGTGTTTATGGATGTAGGTTTACCAACACGAATCCGCTTAATTTATTACTGCAAACTAGAAGTCTTTATGTCCGTACTGCGCTACTTTTGTGTGTAAAAACAAAACAGAAAAATTAAAGTGGCTTTTGTGGTTTCGCTGCAGTGTTAGAATTGTCATTATGTGTGTGTAGTTGATTGCAGCTTGTGGTTTTGTTGCCATTTGTTTGCATATACGTAGTTGTGGCTGTGCATCGAAACGTCATTTACAGGGAATATACAAGGCTCGACTTCCTTTGTTATTGTTGTCCAATTGTTTACATTTTACATAAATATTAGACAATCAATATTATCGAGCATAATGTATCAATTACTTATAGGCAGACGCAGCATGTATTATTACAGAACAAAAAGATATAATATTGCCAATAAACAATAACAAAAACTAAATCCAGCCAACATTATCTGAAGTTATATAAGTTAATTTAGAAGATAAACACAGCCTGGCAAAGAGCTCACAGTCAGAACATGTTTATAGCATACGGAGCAAAGGAGCAGTACCTGAGGGCCTAGTGTGCGTTTATTTCACATCTACTCGATCGTTATGGTGACCGCGTTTGGTATTGTAATCAGCCCGCACTGAAATAACTTACAAAAATTCAACAACAAAAATGAACCTGTAATTCTCCATAACCTATTAAGGTATACATTGTATGACTAAAAGCTTTTAACACTATCTGAAATAAAATCACCTACAGCTAAAGATTGCAACGCAAATAAGATGTGTCACTAGTAGTTACGCTTCACAACTGTTTAAACAATTTAGGAAAGCAAAGTCTATATTGTAGAGCTCATTTTCGAGTAGCTTAATACCGAAAACTTTAACTTTCCTTGGAAATTGTGAAACAAGCCTGGAAAGCAATATACGAAACAGGTAACTGTAATTTGGTCGTATTTGCGAAACGCTTGGATAGTCCGTCTTAATACACTTAATCACACCTGTTTGTTTGTTACAGAGCCTATGCCAGAGTAATTTGTGATTCTCTTTAGTAAACCATAAATAGGAGCTTAAACGTATACGCATATCTACACATAAATCTGTATCCTGACTGACATTTCGTTGATTAGCTGGCTTCCCTTGTCACGCAATCGCTAAGTG